CCATTGCTATTAGAGTGGTGACCATCGCTATTGGGTTGGAGGCCATCACTACTAGGTAGGAGGCCATCGCTATCCATCGCTATTGGGTTGGAGGCCATTGCTACTAGGTTGGAGGCCATCGCTATTAGAGTGGTGATCATCGCTATTGGGTTGGAGGCGATTGCTAGTAGGTGTAGTTTAACAGAAATGTGCTCCGCAGGATTCAGAAAAGAAATAGTTGGACTAAAGTCCGAATGGTCGAATGCCGAGAAATGATGCATTCGTGAAAATCTAATCGAAAGAGAGCCAAGAGACGATCAATGTGAGCTTCCAACCTGGCAACTTTGGCGCGCAACGCTTTGTTCTCTTGGAGCAACTCCAAAATCCGCTCGCCCTTAGGGTCACGATTCACCACGGCCTGCGCAGCGACGCTTCGTTTGGGCCGCGTCGTTACAGAAAGACCGGTCTATCTATCGAAATAGAAAGAATAAGAAGACAGAACAAAGGAACACATCTGAGGTTCAGAGAATACTGGAAACAGAATAAAAATATCTTTTCGGGAAAAAATAACGCATGAGAAGCACCCTGCTGACAAGCCAAACCTTGTTTTCAATCTTCTTGGCACGCTCGGCAAATCTGAGACTGGACAAGGTTTCTTCTGCGTTGATCTTGGCTGGAGAGACGTTACAAATAATGACCTCAGCAAAATGGACGCCTGCAATGACCAAAGAGAATCTTGCAGGTAGGTTGGAGGCCATCGCTATTGGGTTGGAGACCATTGACGTTAGGACACAGTTGTGAGACGATGAAGATGGGAGATAGTACCATTCACCAGTGTCAAGGGAGAGGGAACCCCCGCTGGACAAAATGTTGAGTGGGGTTGTGGGTTAGCCACTGGTGCTGCTGAGCACATCTACACCGCACATCTCTGGCACATGGTGTGAAACAAAGCAGGGATGAACACGAGTTCAAACTGCCTTGCGCAGAGCAGTAGCCATTTTTGCAACGAGCTATTTTAATGGTTGCCCACCTCCACCAACCTTCGCCCACCAAAAGGCAAACGAGTCAGATTCTTTCGAACAAATTGTCTTATCTGTCTTTGTCAGCCGACTATCTATCCCTGCAACCCCTGCAAGGTACTAGTAGCAATGACGGTATTAGGTGGAGGCCATGGCAAGTAGGTTGGAGGTCATCGCTACTAGTAACAAGAAGCTATTAGGAACACAGGGCATCGCTACTAGGAGCAAGGTGCTGTGTAGGAGTTTCCCCCAAGTGAATCCTGCAACAAGCGTGTGAGCTTGGAGTCACGGTAGGGCACATGCCGACCACCTGCAGTGCACCCACATAAAGATGCATCTCATGCAGGGCACACCTAACTTGCATGTACCTATCTTTGCGTTGCGGCATTCACCCTACAACCTGGACACTTATGGTTTATCTGCTCACAAATTGGCATCTTGGCACCTGCACCCTCTCTTGCGATTCGGTTCTACCCTGTTGAGCTGTATTCTCTAGAGCATCTCGGATAGTGCATTTCAACCGTGCTTCCTTGGATTCAAAGAGAAGTTCACCAGATTGGGACTCGACCCAAACACGACCTCGGGTCCCATCACTCTTTTCCGCCATTTTTCCCAAGTTCGGGTTCCGACTTCAAGTAGTAACAGGTGCCACGCTACTAGGAACAAGTGCATCGCTTCTAGTAACAGGTGCCTTACTAGTAGGAACAAGTGCCACGCTAGTATAGAAAGAGGTGTTTGTGTGCGCTTTGCAGCCTCAGTGCTGGTGCCGCTGCAGCACAAATACCTTTTGCTATCTGGGGTCTATGCGACCGAATATAGCTTCAATTCGACTGTACTTACTCATTTTGCACAGTCACAGTGCAAATTATTGCTCGCTTCTGTATGCATGGTCAGATCTGTGCTGGGATGGATTTGGAAGTTGCACGGGAAGTGCCAAGCACATTACTTCTTTGGAGATTGAAATGGGCAGGTGTAGTGGCTTTGTGGATCTATCAGATTTGTCAACCCGCCCCTTCCTTTTCCGTGTAGCCCGTAGGCGTAATCTTCCTGACTGTGAGTTTGCTTCTCTTCACAAGTATCACTTGTACTTTGTATTTGATCTTTTAAGCCCGAGGACCTGCCTCCTTGTCTATTTATTCACATGTAAAAAGAATTGAAGCTCTGTGTTCTCCTTTTCGCTGTTGGCTATGATCCTGCATGGTGCCCCGGCCACAAGACGCAGAAAAAGTATCATTGCCCTTTCTATCCATAGTTGTCATGAAACGAGCAAGGACGCTACTAGGGGCTCCTGGCCTTACTACTAAGAGCAAGAAGCTACTAGTAACAAGAAACACTGGAACGGTCTGACAATTGTACGGAATTAGTATGTTCACCGAGCAAGCCAGCCTCCTGAAGTCTTCTCAGTGAGGGCATTGATAACGTTCCCCAATGCAGACAGCGACAAATTGATCTGAGCACCTCCCGGGACGTTATTCACGGCCCAAGTCAACAACTTTTCTTTTCGTCTCTTTTTGCCCCTAGTAGCGTCCTTGTTACTAGTAGTAAGGCCAGGAGCCCCTAGTAGCTTCTTAGATTCGAGGCCATCCTTCCGCACCTTCCTTCAAGCGATCCCCAGTGGCACCTGGCATCGTGACAAAGGCGATACATTGAGCCACACATCGATTGAAACGATCTGAGAGTTGAGCACGGTCGGTTCAGTTAAGCGTCCTTGCTCCTAGTAGCGATGCCAGGAGCCCCTAGTAGCGTTCTTGTTCCTAGTTGTAGAAATCATATGGAAAATGCTCATCCAAAGCTTGGAACCAGTAGACGGCCACTAGGCATTACTTTGGTCTGAAAATGCACACAGCTGTGGCCGAGGTGAGAAAAGGTCTTCCTTTCAATATTGAAAAAAATAAGCAGGTCTCGAACGACACTAGAAGGTGCTCACTTCTCAGCACTAGGTGGGATTGAACACTACCGGCCTGTCGCCTTTTGCCGCTCACTTCCGGCCAAATCAATGAGATGAAGCTTTGATACCGTCAGCCTCACGGAAACAAGAGAAGAGCGCGCATAACAAGTGAAAGAAGCAACAAAATCGCTGCAAGAGACGCGAGATAGAAAAATGACAGAATGATGGTAAAAGAACGAAAGAAAAAAAGGAACACACAGGTTTATTTATGTTTTTTTCGTTTTGAAACAGAAAGGTATTGACATCTCGACCGTATTTTCCAAAGGCTGAAAGACGTGGCTGCATCCACATCGTCACAATCGCAAGCACCCACTCGGAGCGTCACCACCGAGTGGGAACCTCAGACCGATTCTGAATGGTAGCTAACAAGTATATCTAGTAGGACGTAGGAAAGCGCTCGCCTTGTTCATGTGGTTCCTAGAATTTTCGCAAAACTTAACTTTTGTGGAAATGGAAGAAACGGACTCAAAAGAAAGGAAACACGGTTCTTTTTGCTTGAGTATTCCGCCGATGAACAAATCTCTTCTTGTTTACTGCATAACGAGTGGCGAGAGCTGTGTTCGTTCATGTTGGTCTTACCAACAGCTCTTCTTTGCTGAGCCTCCAAAGGCACGGAGCGAGCAGCTCTGAACCCCAAAGCACTCTTCAAACAGCTTCAAAACCTGCCAAAGTCGGATGTCTACTAAAGCCTTTCTAATAGCTTCTTGTTAGTACTAGTAAGGCACCTGTTACTACTAGCGTGGCACTTGTTATTACTAGCTTCTTGTTACTACTAGTAAGGCACTTGTTACTAGAAGCGATGCACTTGTTCCTAGTAGCTTATTGTTTCTGTTCAAACAGCTTCCTGAAAACCAAAGTCGGATGTCTACTAAAGCCCAACAACGAACAGAACGGCGGCACTACTCTTTCAGGTCATTCGAAAAGCCTCTTTGAGCGGAGTCTGCATCCGAAACCTACGACTTAAAATCCCAGTCTGTGCAGTCACCTTGGCAATACAGTCCAAAACCTCTTCGCAACTTCGAACTTGAACCTGCCATTATCGTGGCTCTTGTGCAACCAGCTCTGCAAGAATACTTGTCACAACCTGAAAGCTAGGGGACTTGCATCCAAAAGACAACACAACGGCAAATCTTTCAATCGAGAGGTGTCCAAATCAAAAGAAAACTGCAGTTGAGGCAAACATCTTCGGGTGGCCTCTGTCAATCCTTCGACGTGAATGCCCCGACCACCTTTGAGACAAAACTTTCGGAATAGTTTTCTGGAAAACATTATTACTGGAAGAACAAGAGACATTATGAAACTCAAATAACATGATTTCGTTCTTTTGAGCTTCTAAAAGCACAAAATAGACAGACACATGTCTCTAACATGAAAGAACAACACACAAGGTGCCAATGAGTTGCGCAACATGCTAAACGAGAAAATGTTGCTACTAGTAGCGTCCTTGCTCCTAGTAGCTTCAAAGACTGTTCCTAGTAGCTTTTTGTTCTTACTTAAAGAATAGCTACTAGTAGCTTCTTGTTACTACAGGTGAAACGATTCCCAGTGAAACGATTCCCAAGAAAGCTTCTTGTTACTAGTAGCTTCAAACAACATAGTCACACAATGAACCCTTGTAAATCTCTGCTAGTCTCCTTGTGAGCTGTCTTCACGGATCGTTAGGTCATCACTGGAATCCACAGACAAGTCCTGTTTGACACTGGTGGCATCTCACAGCACGCACAGAAAGCCAAAAGCTCATCAGAAAATGACAGCGCCAAATGCTACTTAGCTCGATGGCCTCCAACCTAAGAGCGATCGATAGCATGCAACCTCATAGCGATGGCCTCCAACCTACTAGCAATGGCCTCCAACCCAATGGCGATGGCCTCCAACCTAGTGGCGATGGCCTCCAAAATGACAAATGCTGCTCATCAGAAAATGACAAACTTTAGTACCAAATGCTGCTTAGCTCGTCTTAGATTTTGGATTTCGCCTGGCAATTTCGATCGAAAGGTTTGCTGAAACAACAGCTTAACTTGCCTTCAACCTGCGGTTCTTCTGCACTTGCTTAGCACTCGTTGTCAATCAAAACGGTCAACCTGACAATTCCACAGCACGGCCTTGCGCCCGTTTGCACACATCCCCCTTAAGATCTGGGTCCTTCACCTTCTCGTTGTAGATTTCGAGAACGCTGCAAACCACTGTAATGTGTTTCTTCTCTGCAGACTCCTCACCACACGTGAGTTTTACAACGCCAAGTGAACACTCAAGTGGAAAGACAATTTCATGCAACGAATTTCTTGTTACTAATAGCAAAACTTGTTCCTAGTAGTAGGGCCAGGAGCCCCTAGTAGCGTCCTTGCTCCTAGTAGCGATGCCCTTTGCTCCTAGTACTCCTACCCCCTCCGCGCGCGCGAAAAAGGTCCCAGTAGCTTCTTGATTAAATTGAAATAAATTCTAATTAAATTTAGATTAGTTTTACTTCTAATTCTATTGAATTCTTGTTTCTGATAGCAAACCTTATTCCTAGTAGTAGGGGCAGGAGCCCGTAGTAGCGTCCTTGCTCCTAGTAGCGATGCCCTTTGCTCCTAGTAGCGTCCCTGCCACTCCTGAATCTCATTGAAAAGCTCTGTGCAAAGTGTGGGGATGATCCCGCGCTGGTCCCCTGCACCTGAAAACCGACTTGGCAAATGGAATCTAAATCGCTAAATGTTGCTCTGCAAGATTTTGGTAGGCCGCTAAGAGGTAGTAGCTAGGAAGTGACTAGTAGAAGCTAGGTAGCTAGTAGCCTACTTAAGCTACTAGCATGGACGCAGGATAGCGCTCGCACTATTCATTTGGTCTAGGACTCTGCACTTGGTCTGGCAACACCACAAAGCATATCAATGGCGCCCAAAGTGTTGACACAAGATCAACATGGTTACCATGGTTTTTGAATCAACCACTGGGCTGGCCTGAAAAAATGTTCTGTCGATTGTCTACTACACCTAAACAGAAAACAAACATATTTGCCTTGCATGGTGAAGGTCTTGCCCGAGCCAGTCTGGCCATATGCAAATAAACAGCCATTGTAGCCTTAGCACATCAACTGGAAAGAGTTCAATTACGAATACAGTAATGCATTAGGTTGTATCAGCAAACAAGCATTGGCAAAAAGTTCCGGGTAAGTGCATACACACTGCATTGTCACAGTGCAACACATTCTGCTTTTGGTGAAAGTTTGGGTTCCTGCACTTGACAGTGGTGCCCAGAAGCTAAACACAATGGGGCAAAGGGGTCACAGTAGCAACCAAAATAGATCATGCTTTTCTGCAAGCACTCTGTTGTTCTGCCTAGCAAGGACATGTGTAGGAACGGAACACATGTGTAGCTTGTGTTGAGCCAAACGAGGTGTCGGGTAAGGGTGAACTATTACTAATTCTTGTTACGACTAGCTTCTTGTTACTAGTAGTAAGGCACCTGTTACTAGTAGCGAT